GTGGAGGCAAGGAGGCAAGAGAAGCATTTGAACCTAGGAGTTTGAGGTTGCTGTGAGCTATGAAGCCAAGGAACTCTATCTAGCCTGGCGTAATAGACTAAGACCCTGTTTCAAAAACATGCAAACAAATAAAATATATTTCCCTAATGTCCAATGATTTTAATCACTTTTACATATGCTTATTGACCTTTTGGAAATTCTCTTCTCTGAAGAAAGCCCAGGTTTTTTTTTTTGGTTTTTTTTTTTGAGACAGAACCTCAAGCTGTCCCCCTGGGTAGAGTGCTGTAACATCACAGCTCACAGCAACCTCCAACTCCTGGGCTCAAGCGAGTCTCCTGCCTCTACCTCCCATATAGCTGGGACCACATGCACCCGCCACAATGCCTGGCTATTTTTTTTGGTTGCAGACATCATTGTTGTTTGGCAGGCTGGGGCTGGATTCAAACCCGCCACCTTAGGTGTATGTGGCTGGCACCTTAGCCACTTGAGCCACAGGCGCCGAGCCAAAAGCCCAGCTTTTTATCCTTTTTTTTTTTTTTTAACTGGATGCACATTTTTATTTTTCTGTTTGTTTGTTTGTTTGCAGTTTTGGGCCGGGGCTAGGTTTGAACCCACCACCTCTAGTATATGGGGCTGGCACCCTACTCCTTTGAGCCACAGGTGCCACCCACATTTTAATATTTATTTATTTATTTTGAGACAGTCTCATTTTGTGGCCCTTGGTAGAGTGCCATGGTGTGACAACTCACAGCAACCTCCATCGTAGGCTTAAGCAATTCTCTTGCCTCAGCATCTCAAGTAGCTGGGACTACAAGTGCTTCCCACAATACCTGTTTTGGCAGGGAAGGGGTCTCACTCTTGCTCAGGCTGGTCTCCAACCTGTGAGCTCAGACAATCCACCCGCCTCAGCTTCCCTGTGAAAGGAAATTTTAAAATAAGCACTAAAATGCTGGGTGGGTCACACCTGTAATCCTAGCACTCTGGGAGGCTAAGGCACGTAGATTGTTTGTACTCAGGAGTCCAAAACCAGCCTGAGCAAGAGCAAGACCTCATCTCTACTAAAAATAGAAAAATTAGCCAGGTCCCTGTAGTCCCAGCTACTTGGGAGGCTGAGGCAAGGGGATTGCTTAAGCCGAGGAATTTGAGGTCGATGTGAGCTATGGCACCAAGGCACTCTAACCTGAGTAACAGAGTCAGACTCTGTCTCAAAAAAAAAGGAAAAAAGTGCATTTCTCTCTCTCTATTAACAGATTAGGATAGATATTCCTAGTGAGTAGAAGAATGAGGACAGGTAACTTCTGCATCCCCAGACTAATGGGGATGCAGTCATCTATAACTCATGCCTGCTGAGGTCATTCCAGCCATTGTAATCAGTGCAGCCCATAAAAATGGAACAAATTTGTGGAGGTTTTACATACCAGGCTTATTGGCCCTGTGATGCCTGCACATGTTCACATTCTTGTAGAAAAAACTGGTTCCATGTCACCTTTAACTACAAGTGGACACTGAGCATATGTCTACTCAGATACTATAGAAGTGGACAAAGGATTAGAGTGGACAGTTAGCAGTCCCTGAAAAGATATGAAAAAATCCCTGTGAGAAGATGCACCTACCTCCTCTAATAATGCTTATCTCCCAAGGTAAGATTACAGGAGTTCTTCATCTTTTTTTTTTTTCTTTTTTGAGACAGAGTCTCAAGTTGTTGCCCTGGGTAGAGTGCTGTGGTTTCACAGCACGTAGCAGCCTCAAACTCTTGGGCTTAAGCGATTCTCTTGCCTTGGCCTCCCAAGTAGCTGGGACTATAGGCGCCTGCCACAACGCCCGGCTATTTTGTTGTTGTTGTTGAGGTTGTCATTGTTGTTTTAGCTGGCCCCGGGCCAGGTTCGAACCCTCCAGCCTCAGTGTATGTGGCCAGCACCCTACCCACTGAACTATGGGTGCCACCCAGGAGGCCTTCATCATTTATACCATATAATTTTGAAGTGCTTACAGTTTTTTAAATAACAATCATCTCTATTATAATAAAAAATATATAAAGCAAAATGAAAGATGGAGGGAATAACAAAAGATTTGACTGCATAAGAGGTAAAACCACTTATATTTTTTTTTTTTAAAAAGCCTCAAGCTATCTCCCTGGGTAGAGTGCTATGGCATCATAGCTCACAGCAACCTCCAACTCCTGGGCTTAAGTGATTCTCTTGCCTCAGCCTTCTAAGTAGCTAGGACTACAGGCATCTGCCACAAAGCTCAGCTATTTTTTGCTTGCAGCCATCGTTGTTTGGCGGGCCTGGACTGGATTTGAACCAGCCAGCTCAGATGTGTATGTCTAGCACATGAGCCACAGGCGCCAAGCCATTTTTTTTTTTTTTTTGGGACAGAGTCTCACTTTGGTAGAGTGCTGTGCCATCAAATCTCACAGCAACCTCCAACTCTTGGGCTCAAGCAATCCTCTTGCCTCATTTTTTCTATTTTTAGTAGAGATGGGGTCTTGCTTTTGCCCAGGCTGGTCTCTAACTGGTTAGCTCAAACAATCCACCTGCCTGGGCCTCCCAGAGTGCTAGGATTACAGGCATGAGCCACCATGCCTGGCCTAGCTTTTAATTTTCATCATGAAATTTTTATTTATTTATTTATTTGTTTTAGAGACAGAGTCTCACTTGATTACCCTTGGTAGAGTGCTGTAGTGTCACAGCTCACAGCAACTTCCAACTCCTGGGTTTAGGCGATTCTCTCGCCTCAGCCTCCTGAGTAGCTGGGACTACAGGTGCCCATCACAGCACCCAGCTATTTTTTTGTTGCAGTTTGGCAGGGCTAGGTTTGAACCCACCACCCTCAGTATATGGGGCCGGTGCCCTACTCACTGAGCCACAGGGGCGGCCCTTT